AGGACCTTGTACTAGCCAGGCAGGTGCTTGCAGCACTGAGCTCTATTTCTGGCCTCATTTTATTTTTTTGTGTACTGGGGATCAAGCTTAGGCTTCATGCATGCTAGGCAATCCCTCTGCCACTGAGCTACTGATCTGGTTCTTTTAATTTTATTTTGAGAGAGAGTTTTGCTATGTTGCCAGACTGGCTGACCTAAAACTTGCAATCTGCTTTCCTCAGGCTCCTAAATCACTGGGGTTATAAGTGTTTACCCCCATGCTGGCTGATTATTGCCCTCTTTTCAAAGAGAAGAGACTTTGCCATAGAAGGGTTGGTTTGCCTAAGGACACATAGCTAGTAAGTGGCAGAGCCAGACTTAGAACCTAGGCGTTGGAAATCCCAGTCCGCATGATTGGTCCTTGGGATGCCCTGGTCCTTGTGGGAGTAGGTGGTACCAAGGTGATCTCATTGGTAAGAAGGCACTGGCTAGTGAACTTTGGCACCCAGCTCACAGCTCCACTGTTGCCCACAGCGTGCCAAGTTGGAGGCTGCCATCGCTGAGGCTGAGGAGCGTGGGGAGCTGGCCCTCCAGGATGCTCGTGGCAAGCAGGAGGAGTTGGAGGCTGCCCTGCAGCAGGCCAAGCAGGACATGGCCCGGCAGCTGCGGGAGTACCAGGAGCTCATGAACATCAAGCTGGCCCTGGACATTGAGATTGCCACCTACCGCAAGCTGCTGGAGGGCGAGGAGAGCAGGTGAGGGATGGGAAGCTGTGCAGGAGTTCCTGAGGTTCAGTGGGACCTAGACTCCATCTGTCATAAGTGTTTCCTGTGTGTCCCTTCGCTGCAGAGCACAGCAGAGCTAATGCTTGCTGCTTTGCTGTCAGTATGGTGACCATCTGGAAGGGAAGGGAAACCCCTTGGTGTGTATGGCCATTAGCATTGGTATCTTATATAACCCTCAGCACCTGCTCCGGAAAGCATGTCAGATAGTACTCGGTCCTTGGTCTACTGAGGGGAAAGCTGTGGGTCTGTTTTACGAATCAAGGGACAGGGCCAGCGTATGGTTAAGGCTGTGCTGCCTCCTGGTCCAAGCAGCTTCCATGCCTCCAGGATGCTGCTTACCTTGCCCTCTGCTAAATCATGTGGTAGGGACTGAGTGTGCTGGAGGAGAATCATCTCCTCTGTCCCCAAGATACTTGCATACTCACCTGCAGCCAGAGCAGAGTTTGCAATGGATTCGTTTTGTAGGATATTCTTCATGAAAGCCATGGCACCTCCATCTATGCTGTTGGGTTGGTTGATGCTTCCTGTTCACAGACAAGATTTTAGAGGTGTGCCTTGAGAAAGGCCATGATCAGGACAGGTGAGAAGCTGCAATGTGGCCAAGAGGTGAAAGCAAGACCTGTGCTGGCTTGTTAAAACCCAGCATGGAGATGGACAGTGTATGATGTACTTCTGTTGTCGAGGAAGTTACACAGTGCTGAGACAAAACACCTATGAAAGAAGCACTCAGAGAATAGCATCTTGTATTTTTTAGATGCTGAATTTGTAAGAGATGTTTTCTTTTTCTGAGCAATATTCCTGATGGACTGGGGAGAGAGGCTGGGGAGAAAGGATGGAGGATGAATGGGACTGAGAGGAAGGAACAGTGAGGTATGTTGAGCAGAGTGCCTGGATGCTGGGAAGAGGAGGAGGAAGGACATGGTAGCAGGACATGGGTTGGGAGTTGGGTCCCCTGTCCCTGCATTTGACTGACCCTTCTCTGGGTGGACACTCAAGCCTCTTCATGGGCAGAGGAACTGCACATCAGAGGCCTCTGGGAAGAAAGACACTACCTTGGGTACAGGGCAGCTCTAGCCACGTTGCCTCGCTCTGCCTTCTCCTGCCCTCCTCTCTTCATACTCTTGCCTGTGGTTGTAGGGAACCCACAACCTTGGCCTTTTTTCCTTATAGAAGTTAGAACTGGGGGGACTCTTAGAGTGGGGGACTCTTACAGCTTTTTCTCTTGGGCTAATGAGAGAATTAGAACTCAGAGATGGTAAGTGACATTCCCAAGGTCACACAGCAAGATAAGACATCCCCTTGTGAATGCTGAGTCACTGTAATCAGGTTGGATCTCTGAGAAGAGAGGTGTCCCTGGTGGACACCTTACTTATATCCTTTAATCCCTCAGCCCTTCCTAGGGCAGACTGAGGGCCATGGTTCCAAAACCCATAAAATGTGGTGATAGGCGGTGCTTTGAGAATACAAAATTGGGAATAAAAATTAGGCACAAGAACAAGTACCTATTTAGAATTAAAACAGAAAGCCACACAGATCACTAAGACATGGACATTCAGATCTCTTCCTTGTGAGTTCTTAGGCCTCGTACCAGAAATCCCCACGTAGAGCTGCTGCCTGATGGCAGCCTGCACTCATCCTCCATAACTTCCAGCACTTCGAGCAGGGGCCGTTCAGATACGTGTTCAAAACCCCATCACTTGCCCCCTTCCCAGACTTGGGGTTGTGGAGGCCAGCTGGGCTCCATACTCCCTCCCTCCTCAAACTGATCCCCAAGGCCAAGGGCTTGGTGACAATGGAGCTCTGAGTCACAAAACAAACAGATCCAGCTGTTTTAGGTAGATTTTTAGTTTCCACTGAAAGACCAGTTTCAGCTCCACAAGCTGCTTACAGTCACCCCGCCTACCCCCACCCTCCTCAGTCCTGTCTTGCCAAAGTGGTAGTCAAGTTAATCAGCGGTTCACTAATTATTTCAACACATATAGATACTTACTATGTTCCAGCCCAAAGGCAGATGTGTGCTTAAGTAGGAAGTGTGGTTTCCATTTACCAAATCCTGGGGTGCAGGGCTTTGGATGAATTATACTAGTTAACTGTCACAAAGAAGCTTCTGACTTTGGTCCACTAGTTAGGCCCAATTTATAGGTGGGAGATGGAGGCTTTGGGACATCGCCCCAGGTCAGGTGGCCAGTAAGGAGAAGGGCCTGAGCAACCCCTCCCATTTTGCAGCGAGTCTCAATGAAGGTTGCAGGAGAAGAATCTGCTTGGGGCCTGGAACAGGGTTGTCTGGCAGTGCCTGCCCAAGACTTGAGATAAGAGCCATTCTCATAGTTTGTCCTCTGTCCCCAGGTTGGCCAGAGATGGAGTAGGAGCTGCAAACATCTGTAAGTCCTTGGCTGTTGCCCCTGAGCTGTGTAGTGAGGTGGGGTTTTTGGCATGACCCATTGGTCTGAGGGTCTTGCTTGTGGAGCTGGGTTTCCAGGAGCTCATGTCCAGCTTAGTGGCCCAGGACAGTGAGTTGCTGCTTGTGGGAAGCCTCACTATCAATCACCCCACTTCCAGAAGCTCTTTTGTACTGGTTGATGGGCAGCTTAGGGAGGGAAGTAGCTGTGTGTGTGTTGGGGGGCACAGTTTTGGTAGGAGGGTGGTGGAATGGAGGGAGGGGATTTCTGGGGGCCTTGTGCCAGTGAATCCATTTTTCTTTCTCTTGCAGCTGTGGTGAATTCCAGTGGTGGTGGTGGCATCGGGCTGGTCTTTGGGGGAACCATGGGCAGCAATGCCCTGAGGTTTAGCAGTGGCGGTCCTGGGACTATCAAGGCCTATTCCATCAGGACCACATCTACCACCAGAGAAAGCACCCACCATTGAGCCCTGGACATGGGGAAATGCATGTCCCTCCACCCTAAGCCCCAAGATTTCCTTCCTTTTTTCTCCTCCCCAGTCCTAAGATTGTACAGCACTCTGAAAGAGATGTCAGGGTCACTTCAATAAAAGAGCCTTTTGAATCCTGGGTGAATTCAATGCCTGGCGCTTGCCATCCTGGCTTCCTTAGGTAGGGCAGAGAAAGCGGGTGGGAAGGATGGACCAGGGAGGTCAGGGTCTGCCCTGGTAACTAGGAATCCTCCTGTGGAAGGGACTGAGGTAGCACATGGTGACACAGGGGTGCTGCTTTAAGGGTGGACTCTTCTAGGGTGACACCTTTGCCTGTTTCCAGAGGAGGCTCAGGAAGATCACAGGAACTTCAGGTTTTGCCAGCAAGTGGCTGCTGGAGTCCTCCTCTGCCCAGAGATTGGCAGAGATGTTTGTGTCCTCTACCTTCAATGTCCTCTCTGTTGCCAGAGTGCATTCATTTTGCAATGAGAAGTCCACACATTCAGCTGCCCCAGGCCCAGGTTTTGAGAGGCCAGTTCTCAGGCCAGCTGCCATTTTCTGGTACTGGATCTGCCAGGCCTTGGGACCATGGACAGGTGCATGTGTGGGTGCTGGAGGTGGGTCTTTGTGCCTGGGATCCTGTAGAAGTGATATGGATGGAAGGTGTGTGTACATGAGAAGCATCTCAGAGTCTAGGTCACTGGGAGGGAGTCTGTTCTTGGGTCCTTAGGTAGAAGGATGGGCTGTGTGTCTGGATCCCATAAAGGAAAAGAAAGGATAGGGAACCTCTGTATGTTGCCTCTGGGCTTGATGGGGGTCTCTCATGTCAGGGACTCTAATCTGGGGGCCTATGTCTATGTTTTGAGGGTTTTGCATCAGGGACAAGGCATGGGGACATTGTCCTTGGCGGGCAGAAGCACATCTGGTGGGTACTGGGCCATCTAGGACACTCAGGTGGTGATGGTAGTGTGTGCATGGAGGGGGGGGGTCGCATCTGGTATGTGCTGGTTGCTGAGGAGAACTCTCTGTTGGACCATATGGACAGGGAACTTTCCCAAGTCAACCTGGGGCCAGGATGTGGGAGTGGAGGAAATAGACCACTGGTGTACAGCAGCTGCATATGGTGACCTCCTTATCTAAGGTTTCAGAGGCCTAACTCTTCTTCTCACCCTCCTGTAGTTTCGTGTATCTGGGTTTGGAGGCTGCTGATCCACCTTTGCACCTCAGGATGTAATGTGTGCACTTAGCAGCAGGGGTCTCTGGAAATTGCCCGTTTCCCCACTGTGGCTGATAACTCCTCATCTACCACCCTTTGGGGGAAATCTGCACAGACAGGCAAACCTGGCAGGACAAACAGGAGATCATCAGCTGTTACACATGACTGTGAGCTTTATTGGAAACCTGGAGACCAAGTGTGAAGGATGAGAGGAAGCAAGGCAACCATAGAAGGCCAGTCCAGTAGGAGCCTAAATGCAGGTCATCAAAGCTGGGTTTTGAAGCAGGGAGGGAGGTAGAGCATACAGGGGACTCTGGAGCCTGTCTGTCCCTCAGAAGCCACAGATGTCCAAGCCCCATCAGCGGCCTGAGCTGGGACTGGGTCTTTGCCCAGGGTGGCAAGGAAACCCGTCACTGAGACATCTGTGGTTGAGATGCAGGCTCAAGCTTGGCCCTCCTTGAAAGAGACCAAGAAACAAGTGCACAGGGGGAGTTGAGAATGTGATACGCAGTAGTGTGGGATGAATTAGGTTGCTGTGCTTGTAGCCCTTCCTCCTCATGTCCCAGGCTTTTGGAGCTCTGTGTCGGATGCAGGGACTGTGGCTCACTGGCAAAATCTATGTGAAGCGCACAGAGCGGCTGCTGCTGCAGCTCTGGCCACAGGGCGCACACAAGGAGGTACCCGCGGCCGCTTTCTTCCTGCTGCACTGGGCACTGCAGACACTGCCTGTCACAGGCTGGGAGCCTGGCATGCACGGGTTCCCACACAGGACTCTGCTCTGGGAGCTGCTGACATCTGCAGGAGGAGGACAGAGTCTAAGCCCAGATGGATTCTTGCCTGCGGCCCCTGCCGGCTGGCTGGAGGCCAGAGACCCTCTGCTTAGGGCTCCTTTCTCCACTTTCAGCTCCTTCCCCTTCACACTGGGACACTGATTTCTGTACTTAACCAAAAGTATCCCTGGTACACTGTTCCCCCAGGCCCTCCCCTATAGGTAGAAACAGTGATTTCAATGGCCTCCTCCCTCCCTGAGCTGTGCTGGCTTCCTGCTTTGTAAATAAAGTTTTATTTAAACTTAGTCATACTAAGTGTAGTCAATGGCTGTGGATACTTTCAGAGTAAGGGTTGAGTAGTTGGGACACAGACTGCACTGCCCACAAGTCTAAAATATTTACTGCCTGACACTTTAAGGAAAAGTTTGGGGTGGAGATGTAACCTAGTGGTAGAGTGCTTGCCTAGCTTGTATAAGGCCCTGAACTCAATTGCTGGCACCAGGAAAGGAATGAGCTTGTCCATCAAACCCCTAGCCCTTAGTTAAAAACTCACAGTGTTGGTTACTTACGGACACTCACAGGACCAATGCCCTCACACAACCTTGTGAGGAGAACAAAGAGACAAAAATTAATTAAAGAGAGCAAAGCTGATGAACTCTTTTAACCTGCAAATCCCCTTCTCTAATTAATTTTAATACAAATTAGATGTGAATAATATTCACACATGTTGCTGGCTTAGAAGCACAGCAGCATTACTTGGGAGAAAGAACAGATGCCCTTTCCACAGGTGTGGACCGCACCTCTGCTCCTCGCCCTCCAGCAGGCGCCTATAGGTGGCGATCTCGATGTCCAGGCCCAGCTTGGAGTTCATCACTTCCTGGTACTCCTTGAGCAGGCAGGCCATGTCCTGCGTGGCCTTCTGCAAGGCCTCCTCCAGCCTGGTCAGCTTGCACTTGGCATCATTGAGGGTCACCTCGCCCTGCTGCTCAGACTGGGTCACTGCAGTCTCCAGTTTGGTGTTCTGGGTGATAAGGGAGAGTTATTAAAGCTCAAAGTCAGAGGTTAGGCATCGACTGACTGTTGACTCTCAGAGGGGCTTCACCCACTGCAAGTAAGTGCTTTCGGGCAAGGTTGGCACAGTGGTTATTAACCTAACAGGCCAAGCCCCTGGCTTGTTTTGAAAGAATCTAGCTACACCAGATTTGCATTCTTGTGTGGCCTGCCTCAGTGGGTTGTTTGGCTCTGCCTCTTGTGTGTTTGGTTTGTCACAGCCCCTTATCTGCCACTCCTAGTACCTTGGGCACAGCCTGCTGCACTCATTTCCTGGCCTCTGTTGACACTTGAGTGTGTGATACCTGATCTGGCACAACAGACCACAGAGGTCAAATGGCTCTCCTGAGTCCCACAACACACAGATGACAGGGCGAGTGTGAGAACTTAGGTTGCCTACACCTCATACCGGTGCAATTTCCTTTGTCCTATTCTGCCTCTGGAACAAGGAAAACTCTTGTTACTTATCTCCCTCCATAGTGCCCTCCCATATCCATTCAGGAACAATGACTTTGTACCTTGGACTTGGTGTTCTCGATCTCAGCTGTCAGCTTTTTGATGATGTGGTTCAGCTCACTGATCTCCTCCTTGGAGTGATGCATCATTGTTTCCCTGTATTCGTTCACTTTGGCCTTCATTTCCTCACACTGAGGATAGCAGAGATACTCATGAATGTGACATCCTACCCACTGGGGACATCACTAATGACTGTGCAATTTGTATAGTGCTCAGCCTATCCAACCACTCATGGCAGCTCCACCATGTCACTCCACCATGTCAACCTGAGAGCTGTTGGCCCTAATCTTACCACCCTTGTTAGTTGCTTTTTCTACAATTGAGATAAAGTACAAGACACCCAAAAGTTAAATGAGGAAAGGTTTGTTTCAGCTCACAGTTTATAGAGGTTTCAGTCCATAATCAGTTGGTTCCAAAGTAGGGTGGCAAGGCAGAGGAGAAACAATCCACAGTGAGCAGGCAGGAGACAGCAAGCAGCAAGCACCAGCAACAACAGCAGCAGCAGCAGCAGCAGCAGCAGCAGCAGCAGCAGCAGCAGCAGCAGCAGCAAGTCTGCCTCTCCCTTTGTATTCCATTCACGCTGCCCACCCTCTGCGTGGTGCCACTCAGAACTATGCTAATTCTCATCAGTGGACTAATCCACATACCCTTCATCCCAGCATCACATCCTTAATCCACACACACACCCCCTGGATCCAGCCACCTCCAAAAAACTTCATCAATGAATGTGAATCTTTCGGGGAATATCCAGATACAAGCAATAATACAGCCTTAGGGGCCAGAATCCCCAGGTGAAAGAAGCCTTTCTTATTACACTTCTTGTCCTTCCCACTGTCCTGTCTAGCAGGCTGTTGTCCTGAGCCACTCACCCTGGTGCAGTACCAAGACTCGGCCTCTGCCCGGCTGCGCATTGCAATGTCATTGTACTGAGCCCTGGTCTCAGCCACTATGTTGTCCATGTTCAGGCGCCGGCTGTTGTCCATCCTGATGGTGACTGAGGTATCTGAGTTATGGGAAGAGAGAACGCGGAGTTCCTACAAGGAGAAATGCTTCTTAGTCAATCTCTGTCTTCTCAGAGTCCTTCCCTGTTCCCTTTCTCTGCTTCCTCTAATAGTCTTACTGTCTGAAGCCCAGGTCACAGTCTTGTTGATCAACTTTGGGACCCCTTAATGCTGCTCCAACCCAGGTTCCCAGGGTTGAGAGAAGGCAGAGACAGTCCACATCTGAGGCCACCTTCCCAGTTCCAATCAGCACTTCACCTCCATCCTTGACTCTAGAGCCCCTGTCACCTCAGGGGCTAGGATACCAGCTTATATGTCATGGAGACAAGAGGTCAAGCTGTGCTTCTTTACCTCGGACAGGGAACCAGCCTGGGGCTTTCGCATGTACTCTTCAGCCCTTACACTGGCCTCAGAAGCTGAAATGGTGACTGGTCCTTGCCCATGTCTGACATCCTCCTCGCTGCCCCATTGCTCGCCAGCTCCTCACCTCCTCGTATAGTTGCCGCAGGAAGTTAATCTCCTCCAGCAGCACATGTTCATTGCACTCCAGGTCAGACTTATGCAGATAGCTGTTGTCCACATCCTGCAGGGGAAAGATGAACCAGCAGTCTCAGAAGTCCACCCACTGGTGACTGGGGACACAATCTGGAACTCGAATTTTTCCCTCCAACAGTGAGGGGGGCCCATCGGGCTGAGAAAACTCCCTGGGACTCTTTAGTGCCATAGTGTAGCCCTTTATGTGGTTGGTGGTCAGAGACAAGGGTGGGTAGGAGACTACTGAGGTCCCCAGGTACTTCCTCTGGTGGCACTGGGTGACTCCTGTAGATCCCACACCTTGCACTACTGCGCATAAGATCTAGTGTGAAATGGGTCCTATCTAATGATGTCCCAGCCCTCTCAACTCTGGATCTCATGGATGGGAATCTGAATCTGGAGTCAGGAGAAGAAGGTGCAGGGATCAGCTATGCTCCTTCTAAAGCCAGTGAGGCTTAGAGAAAGGCCCTTGTTCTCTGTGCCTGTCATCCTCTCAGGAGGCCTTGCCTTCTTCAAATCAAGGTGGCTGGAAGGAGGGCCCCATAGTGGCACTGTGCAGTCTAAGAGGTGAGGTTGACAGCTTCTGTTCACGCCATGTTTACTGAGGTTGCTGGCTTAACTTGTCATGCATATTTGCTGAGTGTCCAGTCTATGATGTTCACAGGACCAGAGGTGTTGTAAAATCAGTGGCCAGAGGGGCGACACTACTGCCCTTTGTGAAGTTGGCATTGCACTCTAATGTGCCCAGGGAGCACCCAGGGAGCTTCAGAGTGTCTAGGGGATAGGAAGAGGGACAAAGCTGAGCTGTGAAGTTCTGGAGAACTGTTCAGCCTCTCTCCATCCATGGAGAGCTCCCTGATGCCTCTGTCCTTGGTTCTGTCCGATACTTGAGTATTTTGGAGCCACTTGCCTTCTTCAGGGCCAGAAATTCATTCTCTGCAGTGCGCTTGAGGTGTACTTCCTCTTCATACCTGGAGACAAAGAACAGAGCTTAGATGTGGGAAGAAAAAACAGAACAAAGCCCCAGACAAATGCATGTCAGGAACTGGATCTTTTGGAGGTGGTCTTTTGGAGGTAGAATTTAAAGTGTCAGAAGAGAAGGAACATATTCATCTTTATCTCCGGATTCTCAAATCTATTTGTGTACCCCAAAGTACTTCTGGTTTTAGGGATTCTTGTTATTGATGGGAGTCAGGATGGTTGCCTTGCACATTTCAAAAGCTTCCTCTGTTTTCAGACTGCAACTCCTTGTGGGGCAAGAATCCTGGCTTAATTCTATCCACTTTTCCTCTTCTCCTTCCTTTCTTACCCTTTCCATACTCAGGGCTAGCACACTACCTACAACACAGAGAAGATGCTCAATGAATGTTTGATGAGTTAATGAAATAAAATTTAATGATGAGGCAACTGGAGCAGTATATAATCTCTATAGTTGTTAAACTCGTGACCTATTAAAGAAATTCCCTCCACCCAGAGGCTTATTGGTACTGTCTTCTTCCTGTTGGGAAGTACCTCTCGTGGTCTAACCTGAATATCTCCTGGTTTCACTTAGTCTCATCTCGTTTCTCCACCCCTCTCCCGACCGCCTCCACAGCACTCACTTCTTCTTGTAACCCTCCAGCTTCTCCTGCAGGTGGTTGAACTCTGAGGTCAACTTCCTGCCGTCAGCCTCCACCTCCTCGACCTTCCACCTCAGTGTCAGGATGTAATCCTCAAGTAGTGGGTCCAGGTAGCTCTGGTGGTTCTCACGGTCCTGGCAGAACTTCAACTTGGTCTCTAGCAGCTTGTTCTGCTGCTCCAGGAAGCGCACCTGGGGTGGAAATGGGAGAAGTGTGTGGGATGGGCTGGCCTCTTCCATCCTCCCTGGAGAACAAGCAGAGCCAAGATGGAGTTGGCAGGGAGATGCACAAAATGGGGCAAGTCATGGCCCTGCTCAGCTTTCCTGGCTGAGGATACACTTGGGAAATCCTTGTTCCATGGCTGCTTTCTAGGCTTGAGTAAGTGTCTGTCTGTTCAGATGCCAGGATGGATGAGTGTGAAACAGAGAGGCATCTAGTGGTGCTGAGTTACTGTTGGGTTTGTGGGGGCAGGTAGGGCTGGAGGGGATATGGGAGTGCATTCTGGTGGAAAAGACTATAAAGCAGCGGGAGGAGAGGAGGAGGGAAGCCTTCCACCATGATCTCCCTCAGGGAGGGCCTTATGGTCAGCCTGGCTTGATGAGAAGTCGCTGAGTGGTCAAAGTCGGAAGGGCTTCTTAACTGGAGAGGACAGGGATGGGAGGTTCTTGCCCAACAGGATGCCTGGGATCTGAAAAGTCCTGTGGTGGTGGTGGTGGTGGTGTGGTGCTAGGTGTCCTAAACTTATATAAGTAGACACTGTTGTATATCTCTGCAGGCCAGGCAGGCAAAGTGCACGGGATAGAGTTGGAAAATAGGGAAAGTGGGACATGCTACCCTTCTCGTTCAGACTGGAGAGACACAAGGGGAAGGAAGGATACCCACTAGTGGTCAGGAAGGATGTCAGCAAACCTGGGTCCCTTGGCCTCCAGGTTGCCATTTCTCACACAATGAAGCTCTGGTGGAGATATCTCCTTCCCTGCCTTCTAGGCTTGAGCCCCTTTCGTGGACAGTAGCTGGGAATATGAGGTCAGAACATCCAGAAATGGGGCATAGGGGGTGCCAGTACTACCTGGAGTAATTTTAGGTGGTCTTGGCTGACAGGGCCTCATGGCTGCCTTGGCCGAATCTTCCCTTTGGAAGTTCTGGAGGGGAGAGAGCTACTCTCAGGGCCATACAGCCAATCAGCAGAGCTACCAAGGGTGGAGCGCAGGCCACACAGTCATGGACCTGGGCCCTTTCCCCTCTCCACTTGTTAGTTACCTTTGAAGGTTATGGTGTCTGCTGTGTGGAGCAGCTCTTGCTGGAGTGGGCCGGGCAGCAGTGTCCCCCAACTTTGGTTCCTCCAGCTCTATGGATCTGGAGAGCTGTAGAGAGCCTGGGCCTAAGTCCTGCTCTGGCTCCCTCTCTGTGGGCTCCTGGGCAGACCCCTTGCCCTATCTCTGCCACTTTTCTCATCTGTACATCGGTTGCAAATCCTCAGATATCAACACTTCTCAGGTTGACTTCAGAATTTTGCCCTCCCTTGTACCTCATGCTTCATGTACTATAAGCAGATTCATTGAACATTTACATTTGAAGAGTTAAACGTGTGATTTCATATAACCACCATAGTTGTAAAGCCAGTATCATTAGATGTGCATAATATATTCACAAAGCTTTAAATTCTAGCTGAAACTGCTGTGCCAGGCAACTCAGGCTTGCTCTATTAGAGGAAAGCAAGTCATCCGCATCCAGTGAAAGTTGCTTCATCTACTTCAAGAATTGAAACAGACAAAAAAGGTCATGAATTTTCTCATCAGGCATTTCAATGTCATTTAATGTCAAGGGTCTGTGCCACCTCAAAGTATATAAAATAGCGGCCCTTCTTCTTCATTTCTAACTATCCTGGCCTGAAGATCCCCTTCGCCTTCTAGAACCTGCTAGTTCAGGAAGGGTGCGATCCAGGACACCCACCTTGTCGATGAAGGCAGCGAACCTGCTGTTGAGGCACTTGATCTGCTCCTTCTCCTCGTGCTTCACGCACTGTGCATTGGGGTCGATCTCCAGGTTGAGGGGTGTGAGGAGGCTCTCGTTGACCGACACGCTGGTGATGCAGGGCGGGCTGGGGCCGCACACGCCTCCGGAGCGGTATCCGAAGCTGCGTCCATAGGCGCCTGTGTGGAAGGCCCCGCAGACGCTGCGGCTTCCGAAGCCGCCTGTGAGGCCGCGGTAGCAGGAGATGCCGCGGTAGGGGGCGGCGGTGATGCAGCAGCGGCCTGGCCGAGGCCCGCAGGCAGAGGCGCAGCTGAAGGCGCCGACTGCATAGCGGCTTCCCATGCGAGAAGAGAGGCAGGACATAGTGCAGCGGAGGGTGCAGGTGCAGGATGGACCCCAAGGTCCGCGCCGCCTCTTATAAAGCGATCCCCAGGTTCCTGGATATCGGGGCGTTTATGAGAGCTTGGAGAGCTCTGCCCTGGAGCCTGACCAGGAACAAAAGCCGGCTGGGCCTCTCTGCTGCCCCCATAAAACTGTGTTCACCTGGGGTCAGGAAGCACGTGGTCAGCCCGAGGGTCTTGCGTCGTGGGTAATGCGGGTGGGCTCCTCTGTTGCCTCTTGGTTGGACCCCAGCCCTACACTTTGGTACCAGCTCTGCCCTACAGGCTGGGGAGCTGCTGCACAATGTGTGGGGTTTGTGTATACGCGCGCACGCTCATGCATGTGTGTGTGTTTGTGTGTGCATGTGCGTGTGGAGAGGACCTGGAGTCAGAGACAGCTTCCTGGCTTGACCTTCCTTGGGCAGGTGAGCAGTCTTTCTGGGCTCTGCTAGTCTCATTGCAAAGTCAGGATAATAATACACCCATCTGAGAGTTATTGGGAGGACTTAATGAGATGATAGACTGGAAAGCATTTAGGAGCTTACCTAGCACTTAATAAGAGGTCCATATGTGGTTATTTATTCTACTATTATTAATTTGTCATTCCCCCATGTTCCTTTGGTCAAAAACTTTCTCTTCTTAGAACTCAGCATCTGTCTCTGCTCCTAGGGTCTCCCTTCCCCAAGTGGACAATTGCTCCTTGTGCACCTCTATTCTGTTTGAGGAGGGGAAGGAGGTGTCAATAATGTGCCTAGTACTGAGAGAAAGGCTTTTAAAGACATTATCCATGGAACTTCCAGGCATCCCTTTGATATCATAGTGCCTATTTACTGATGAGGAAGGCGAGCTCCGAGTGGTCCATGGGCTTGTTTATATTCTTACACAGAAGGCTCCATAGAGGACTGGAGTCAGAACCTGAATGGTGACACCCACCGCCCCACCCAGCTCTCTTCCACACTGAAGTCTCCCAGGATCTGGGTCTCTGGGATCTGAGTGAGCCTAACTTCTTGAAGGCAGGAGCATGGATTTTGAGGTTCTGAATTCTTATATAAGAAATTGACCTGATCTAAAGCCTTTTCCTTAACTAAAGCCTTTTCCATTAACTCTAGAAGGTCACAACCCATCATAAAAGAGGTTAATTACTAGTCTAGTTATGATGGAGGATATGAGAGTGTGAGCTAGCATTAAAGGGAAACACAAGTCACCTGAGTTTCTTTTGCTTTAAAGAAGATTATTATTACGCGTGTAGTAATTAAATCCTGGGACTCCAGAGGTCAGCCCTGCCCATCCTGCCTGTGGTATCTAAGTTTCCAGGAGAATCTCATTATCTTTTTTGCTGTTTTCCCGCACTGTCTAGAGATTGGATCCCTTCAATTCTGTTCTGGTCTATTTTGTAGCAGTTTAAGCCCAACCACAGTTGTCTGAGAAGATGGACCTGACTCCACAATGTCTTGTGTGAATGTGTGACTGATGCTCAGCTGTAAGGCTACTTCTAAGCTGGAGGTGGCATGGTGCTTGTGATAGTGATGGCAATAGTGGGACACAGCTGTCATCTCAGCACTTTGGAAAGCTGAGGCAGGAAAATCCCAAGTTTGAGCCCCGCATGGCAACTTAAGGAGTTAGTGATTCCCTTGCCTCAGCCTCAGCCTCAGCCAGTCCTGAGATTACAGGCATATGCCACCATATTCAGCTTCAACCAGATCTTTGCAAAAATTATTCCCCTATCCACTTTTTCACCAGTATCAGTCTATGGATGGAAAGCTAATATTCTGATTTAGTCTTCATGTCTTTTTTTTTTGCTGACCCAGTGGGTCCCAGGGCCAAGGCAGGGGAAAAAGCTCACATCTATTGAGTACCCATCAGCAACCAGGCTCAGAGAGTCACAGTGAGACAGATAGGGCAGGCATGTGCTGAGGACCCCCGTATAAGACTGCAGAGTTTTGATGTCCTGGAGGAGCACCATACCACAGGAGCTGCTCCAGTACCAGGGCCTAGAGAGGAGGTCAGGACAGGGTTCCTGGAGGAGCCGAGACTGATTGGATATGAGGGAGTACCAAGGTGACAGAAGGAAGGAGGATTCAGACCAAGGGGAAGCTAATACATCAAGCAAGGGAGGTCAGAGCCTGTGCAGGGAATTCCAGGAAATCCTCTGTGCTTAGAAAACAGGGATGGATGAGGGCAGGGGGAGGATCTGACTGAGGCCAGACAGTGGGTATGGTGGACGGGCAGGGCAGTTTGGAACATCAAGCTGAGCACTGGTGGAACTTGCCGTGGATGGAGTCATGCTCACAGAGAGGTGTAGGACATGGGGATAGTACAGAGGCTGAAAGGTGTGTGCTCATGCATGTCCACTTCTAGTAACATCATTTTAAATCATCTTAAGCATCATTGTGCACATTTCAGGAATGCATTTCTCCTTCTCCATGATATAGTAGTTAAAGTATCTCTGGCATCTGCCATATCTTGGCTCTGCCACTTATAGTTTTGGTGAAAATATACATATAACCTCTCTATCTGCCACCCTGATATCTAGAATTGAGATATTAAATCTTGCCCAGGGACAGTTTGAAGACAAAGTGACGTGTGCATGAGGTATTACTACAGTGCTTGGTGCATGGCAAATACTCAGTAAATTATAACTGTCAATACTTCTGTTGCTATTATTTTCTCACCATTGCCTGTCAGTCACCTCAAGCACCTGTCCGGCCAGTGATTCAGAGCTTCCAGTGTCTTGCCCATTTTTCTAGGCCTGCATGCTGATTTGTCCTTGCTGCGGACCCCCAGTTTCATCCCTCAGGTCAGGCTCTGGTGGGCCAGGTTCAGATATTATGGGACAAGCTTTCCTGAAGGGAATCCCAGATAACAGAGATGGTCTGGAGAATGTGGCCTTGTGGTTTTGATGAAATTGGGGGAAAGTGTGTTGCATGCAGGTGGAAAATCTTAGGAGGGATAGCAGTGGATGGTCAGGCTGGGAATATTAGGGTACGGGACATTTGGAACCCTCAAACCAGATGCTTACCCACATCCATCAAGTTCATGGGTCCTGCAGCAAGTAGAGCTGGACAAAATCTATTTGGGTTCTGTGGCTATCTTTTCCATGTTTGGGCAGTTGTGGTCCCAGGATACCTTGAGGACTTAGGTCCTGGAGAGCCCTTGGAGACCCTCTTTCAGAACTGGAGGAATGATGGCCCCTCTTTTGTCTTTTGTCACCGCTCATCTTGTGGTCCAAATTTTGAGTGTAACATCACACCCAAAGGAAGCAGCCCTGCCCCCTTAATTATGTCTCAGTGTGCAGAGCCACCAGGCTTTGGCTGACCTTGATGACTGCTTGGGACTCAGGAAAAGCATTGCCAAGATCTCAGAACTTCGGGGGGTATAGGGTTTTCCAAAGCTGAATCTTGGTGATGTTATCCCAGAAGAGAAGAGACATAATTTCCCAAGCCCATAAACATGACAAAATGGCCATGCCACATGGCGAGGCAGACAGACATTGTTCTTTCTCTTCTTCCCCAAAGCTCCATCTCCTACAACCTAGAATCACCAAGACTTGTGGACCCTCTTACTCCCATAGTGGAGACCAAGAGGTCTTCTCTTGGGTGACCATCAGAGATTCAGCTTTGGCTGCATCTTCAGCTACATTTGGCTGCTGCTACATTACCACCAGCCCCTACCTCAGCCCCACCGGTGGCTTTGGTAGCTGAAGCATCTCCCAAGGGCCTTCTGCACTGGGCCCAGTGGGTGCAGTGATGCTACTGCTCAGGCAGCCTCAGCACCCCCTGCATCACCAGCACGTCAGTCAGGTCCGTGAGAGCCTCCTTCCATCCTTTAACCTGGAGATCAACCCCAAGGGGCAGTGCCTGAAGCACAAGGAGGAGAAGATCAAGTGCCTCACTGGCAGGTGCGATGCTTTCATTGAGAAGATGAGTGTCCCAGATCTCACTTTTTCTGAAGGGCTGGGCTGGGCACTGAAGGGATTTGGCCCAAGGGAACTCCTATCTGATGGAGGAGGTAGACATCTAAGACACAGGCAAACATAGAGAAATGAGAATAGGGAATTGGCTGCTGGCTTGACGGTACTGACCAGACAGTCAAGGTCTCTGTAGAGAGACAGGGCCAAGACCTGGAACTCCATGTGAGACAGAGGAAGCAATACATGCACACCAGATACATAAGAAATACACATAAAGAACAGGAACAGGACCACTGGCTCCACTTGAGGCTTTCTGGCAAGATTTCTTCCAGACAGGTGTGACAGGCAGAAAAGTTAGCTAGATAAGGTTGGGAGGGCTCTTTCCCCTAGCAGGTATGAGAAAGGACTTTGCCACTTGATTGAAGGATACTTGGACTCATGCTTGTAACAATCTCAAATGACAGAGATGGCCTGCGGGGTGCACTGGGAGCTGGGGGAGAGGCTTTCCAGGATGCTGGCATTACGAGTGACTAGGTGGCTGTGCCTCTGGGCGGCAGGTGCTCCAGCAGTGGACCTCAGATAACAGTAGCTTGGATCAGAGAATAAGCCACTGGAGACCAAGCGACGGGTCTACCAGAACCACAAGTGCCGTGAGCAACCAGGAGCTGAGCTGTTCGAGGGATACGCCCAGACACTGAGGTGGGAGGCTGAGTGTGCGGAGGCTGCTGGCAGAAGGCTGACCTCGGGGCTCAACCACGGTTCTGCAGGAGCTGTTGGAAGGCTACAAGCAAAGGTCATTTCCCTAAGAAAGGGAAACAGGCTTGAAAACTGGGAGCAGAGGAACACATTGGCCTTAGAAGATCCTTCCCTCATTAACCCTCATTGTGCTTTTCTCAGCTCTAGGCAGCGACAGCATGACATAAGGAGAGCAGAAAATGTCAGCTGAGAGCCTTTTCTTATTTCATGAGCTTTTCAGGACCCAGGCCACATCCCTATTCCTCACCCATCATCCATCTGTTCACCTGCCTATCATTTATCGTAGCTAGGTGTCCATATATCTATCATTTATCCAT